GCACACAGGGTCAAGCCATGCTCCTGCTGGGTTGTGCTTCTTGCCCACCCACTGGGGTCCTGAGCCAGGCAGGCCCTTGTCCTGTGAGCAGGTCCCTGCCCACAGCTGAGCCCACGGGACTCGCACCGAGCCTGATGCCACCAGCAAGTGTTTTATCCAGCTGCCTCCAGCCCTAGCGCATGGGATGGCTGTGGCCTGGGGGGACCTACAGTGCCCTGTACCCTCATGGCTCTCCTGTCCCAGGTTCACCGAGCTGGTGGATGGCAGAGGAAGGATCAGCGCCAGGTTCGGCACTGCGCTGAGCAAATCCATCACTGTGAAGACACGTAAGTGCTCTGCTGCCTTTCTGGCCCCGTCCTGTCACCCAGTGCCATCTCCTATGCCTCCCCCCAGGACAGGGTGGCAGCTGGGCAGACTGCTGTAGAGCTGGGAGAGCCGCAGAGGAGGGCAGGGCCCTCTCACCTCTCCCTGGGCAGACGAACATCTGCCCTGCTCGCTAGACCCCTGCCTAGGGAGAAGGGTGACACACGGCTGGTCAGGGAGTGCAGAGAGGGACCCTCAGTGATGGGAGGTGATGCTGGCTGCAGCACGGTCTGGCCTACGCTGCCAGCAGCAGTGGGAGCCCAGGCAGCGACCCTGCAGCCCTCCAGTGCAGCCCCTACCTGCCCAACAGCCTGAGCCCCCACCACCAAGCACAGCCTCACGCTTGAGGAGGGCGCCTGGGCAAGAAGCCCCTCACTAGCCCAGGACCAGCCCCCACTTGCCATCCCTGGAACACCAGGAATACAAGTGCCAGTCCAAGATACCCTACCAGGCCTGGGAACCCCACGCTGTGGGGTGGAGAAGGGGCCTGGCACACCTGACGGCAACCCTGGGCTCGTTGCCTATCTCAGCTCTGCCCCTGCCTCCCCAGGGCTCTGTGTCCCACAGCCTTCCAGGAAGGTGGTCACCTTAATTCTAGGGGTGCCAACTGGGAAGGGCTGACCCGCTGCCTCAGGCCTGACCAGCCCCCTGATGCTGCGGGCAGGCTGGATCCTACCAAAGGGGCTGCTTTTGGGTCTGGCCCCAGCTGGAGGTGACATTTGACCCTCTCGTTGCCCAGAGCCGGAGGCTCCAGTGAAGCTGGAGAACGTGGAGGTGTCAAGCCAGGGCAGTCTGGCACTGCAGCTGCGTGAGGCAAAGAGCAAGAGTAAGTCCAGGAGGAGACACACGAGCAGCAGGGACCCAGCCCAGGCCCTGCAGGCAAGCAGAGTGCTCGGCACCAGCTTGTTGCTCTCCTTGTTGCTGCCCTGCCGGGAGGCACATAAGGGGCATGGCATGGGCCCCTGCCGGCTGCTCCATCCCTGCTCGCCCGCTCGCAGCTCTCTGGCATGCCGGGGGG